AACATTCAGCTTTTGGTTAAAAAGAATAATCACTTCTTGAGTTTTCACTAGTCAAATTATAATCAATAGGAGTACATTCTTTATATACATCTATATGAGACCTTTTGTAATTATCATACATTTTTTTCTGCTATGACCTTGATGATGATAAGTTTGCAATAAATCTTAGACCTGCAGTTGATGCAGGTGCTAATGTATTTTACTGTTAAGGCATGAAAGATAGAAGAAGTCACCTTGGAGAAATTTGAATTTTATACAGCCCATACATTTCCACTATAAGACAGAAAAAAATGCAATATAGACTGCTGTTAAAGTCCTGCTTTAAACTAGTAGGAATACATGATAGACTGAGAGAAATATCTGGTATATTTTTCTTCATGTGCTGATTGAAAAGCAGTCCAGACCTTCCAGATTTTCTTTCATTTGACTTTAATGCTGAGTTTTCCTATTGAAATGGGAAGGCCTAATTCAACTTTACAAAATAGAAAAGAAGCCAAGATATAAATATGTCTTGAATAATTCAGAACCGACTTATTGAAAAACTTCCACTCTTGAAACTTATTGGAAGAACTCTGTAATATGGAATATAGATTTGACGAAAAAAGGATCATGAGAGCAACAAATCTGTTTGTCATCTGCATAGCAATACTTAGTCATTTGAGTAATATAATCAGGGAGTGCAATGATATAGACATAGGACAATGCAGGGCCGAGAATAAAGTCCTGTGGGACATCAGCTGTAAGTGAAAAAGGACTTGATTAAGGATGGCTGTATTAAATAACAAGTGAATGGTCAGATGAAAATAATGTTAGCCAGCACAACATGCTAGCTTTAGTAATACATCTAGAGTACAATGAATAAGCAATGGTGATTGTGAGTATTCAAAATAGAAGACTGACAGCATTTCATTAGAGCAAATATTAAATTGTATTCATGAACACATGTACATTGATCATTTCAGGTGATTAACCAAATGATACCATTTAGTGGATGTCTCCAGTAGACAGTTATAAATCCACTCTGGCAATGAGAAAAACAAGTTCTAACTTTTGGTAATGTTTGCAATAGAATAAGCACTCTGGGAATAAGTTAGTTAAACAGATCTTCGCCAGTCATCATAACAATAATGACAAAAAGGACATGCAAACAGACAACTGGAACTACTGCAGGTGAAGGCTTGAAAAGTGGGGAAAGGAGCCTTACCAGAGGAGTAGCTGGTATAGGTTTTTATTTTGGTGGCTCAGTGGAAAACTAGGTAGATGGCTTATCCCTTGAGATATGATATGAGATTGATGATTAAAAATTTATTTTAAATTTCTTTGATTAATTTTAATGTTAGGAAAATATAGGAATATCATAGAACCACATAATCGTTTACGTTGGAAAAGATCTTTAAGATCATCAAGTCCAACTGTTAACTTAGCACTGCCAAGTCCACCACTAAACTGTGTCCCTAAGCACCATGTCTACACATCTTTTAAATACCTCCAGGGATGGTGACTCAACCACTTCCCTGGCCAGCCTGTTCCAATACTTGACAACTCTTTCGGTGAAGAAATTTTTCCTCATGTCCAATCTAAAGCTCCTCTGGTGCAACTTGAGGCCATTTCCTCTTGTCCTATCGCTTGTTACTTGGGAGAAGAGACTGACACCCACCTCGCTACAACCTCCTTTCAGGTAGTTGTAGAGAGCGATGAGGTCTCCCCTCTGCCTCCTTTTCTCCAGGCTAAACTACCCCAGTTCCCTCAGCTGCTCCTCATCAGACTTGTGCCCTTCACCAGCTTTGTTGCTCTTCTTTGGACATGCTCCAGCACCTCAATGTCTTTCTTGTAGTGAGGGGCCCAAAAGTGAACACAGTATTCGACGTGCAGCCTCACCAGTTCCGAGTACAGGGGGACTGCCCCTTCCCTAGTCCTGCTGGCCACACTATTTCTGATACAAGCCAGGATGCCATTGGCCTTCTTGGCCACCTGGGCACACTGCCGGCTCATGTTCAACCGGCTGTCAACCAACACCCCCATGTCCTTTTCCGCCAGGCAGCTTTCCAGCCACTCTTCCCCAAGCCTGTAGCATTGCATGGGGTTGTTGTGGCCGAAGTGCAGGGCCCGGCACTTGGCCTTGTTGAACCTCATACAGTTGGCCTCGGCCCATCGATCCAGCCTGTCCAGATCCCTCTGCAGAGCCTTCCTACCCTGAAGCAGATCAACACTGCCGCCCAACTTGGTGTCGTCTGCAAACTTAGAGAGGGTGCACTCGATCCCCTCGTCCAGATCATTGATAAAGATATTGAACAGAACTGGCCCCAATACTGAGCCCTGGGGTACACCACTTGTGACCAGCTACCAACTGGCTTTAACTCCATTCACCACAATTCTTTGGGCCTGGCCATCCAGCCAGTTTTTGACCCAGTGAAGAGTATACCCATCCAAGCCAGGAGCAGCCGGTTTCTCCAGGAGAATGCTGTGGGAAACGGTGTCAAAGGCTTTACTAAAGTCTAAGTAGACAACATCCACAGCCTTTCCCTCATCCACTAAGATGTGGGAAGCATGGTTCTAGTAATCCCAAGCTAAATATTCAGCAGTCTATTGTTCTGTACTTTTTGTTTACCATGCAACAGGAATTACCTGGTCCTGTTTTCCCCACTTTATTTACTTTGCATTAGTCCTTATTAAAATGATCTCAATTTCCTATCATGGGGTGATTTTTAAGACTTTTAAAGATTTTTAAGGTTCTGATTCCTCAGCATCTGATAACACTTCGTGAACAGTACAACTTTCCAACATATTTTTGTTCAAATATACAAAGGTCGTATTATTCATCTGGTCTTTTCTCTCAAATTATCTGACTGATTTTATTTGCAATCTGTGTAGTCATATGAACCTGAGGTGGAAACAACCAATTAGATCAGACTGTCCCTGCTTTTGCCAATGTGCAATATAGTCCCCCAGACAGAGGACACACGCTTGTTTTTAGCTAAAAACTGAGAAGAAGCCTCCTGATCTTCACCCACTGAAATTTAAACTCTCATCTGTTATTTGTATATTTTCAGCAAATTATTACCATATCATCTGTTCACGCCCAGTAAATTTTTACTTCCTTCTCTTAAAGCTGATTTCCCCAGTGGACTAATGAAAGAGACATTCTGCAGCTCATTCTGCTCTCTAAAATAACATCAGTTCACTGAAGAAATGTTATCTGAAAGTGGTGTAGTGATCTTTGTAGTTCATGTTGCAGCTATAAGGGTAATAAGAGCAAAATGATTGCAGTAAGAATAATAGGATTTCCATCTAACTTTTTTTTTTTAAATCAGGAATCATTATGAAACATTCAGCAAATGCATGTTTGGTGTTTACATGAAGTTGTAAGCATTTATACACTTTGAAAAGATTAGATACTTGTTCTAAAATGCTGATGCCAATGTGATATGATACAGCTTTGTTTGGAAATTGATATAAATTGTATACAAAACCAAAAAAAATCACTGTGGCTGAGAGGAGAGGCTTTTCTGAGGTAAATGTGCTACAATAGTCTTTTAGGTTTAGACATATATTTAGACTGTGACTCATATTTCTGTTTAAAACTTTTCTTAACTCAAAGCTTTTGAGAAAAAGAACTTTCTTGGAGTCAATTTCCAACAGAAGATGCTAAGTTTCCATGGACATGCCCTATGTTCCCAGCTTTGTAGAGTTATGCTGCTTGTTGATGATAGTGACGTTAAGCTATGTCCATTAACATTCTTTCGCTAGACATATGCAACTGTTTATACATACAACAGGCAGCTACTCACAGGTGGGGCACCCAAGTTTTGCATTTAAACCCAACATGTAATCCAGCTATGTTTCTCATCAAGTTGGACACCCTGCTTCAGTTTTCTTGTCTCAGTTCTAAATTTCAGGATATATGAGGGAATGCAAATAGAGGTTCATGTTCCCTGAAGGGAGGGGACTGTCCTGATCCTTACACAAATATGGGTGGGAAAATGCAAAGTGACAGTATGCCCTAGCACCAAAGTCCCAGCATGCACACAGCTACAGGAAGATCATTAATCTTAGCATTAATCAACCCTTTAAAGTCTCCCCCTGTCCACTTCCATGTCCTTCCTAAAATATGTCCTCATATCCTTTTTCTAATCTCCCTCCCAACTTTTATTCCCTTCATTTCCACAGTAAGCATTCATCTGTATAATTTACTGATATAATTTATTTGTGTGCATTAAGGAAAAGTCTGTATCAACATGCCTACATTTCATTTTCATGGTATTGCCAGGGGTGCTGCTTTCTGATCTTAGAGTGCCTTTGTGTAGCTCAGATGTGCTACCAGGACAGCACCCTCTCAACAGCCCAGATCGCAGCAAACTGGCTGTGCAGAGGCCCTTTTGTGTAGTCTTCTGCCTCTGCACAGCTTAACCAGTTACTTACCTAAACATTAGGCTCATGTCTCTCTTCAGAAGTTAAATTTGACTGTTTTGTTTAGGGTTGCTACTCCAACTGCAGATATTTAGGGCAGTAAATGTTGGGCCTGATCCCCTGTAAGGAGCTACTAATTTGATGAAGTGTCCAAGAAATAGTTGGGCAAAACTGAAAATGGGAACCTAAAGCAAAGCCCAACCAGAGCAGAAGAAATGTTTTTTCTTTGTTGGTTCAGATGGGCACAAATGCCCACTAATGAAATCAGATGACTGACTGACAAAATATCTGAGTATGGAGACTGTGGCTTGGCGGTTTCTGGTTCACATGATTCCAAAATCTGGAACTGTAGACTTCTGTCTTCATGGTGCACACACAGCTACACTGTGGGCAGTAGATTAATGGATTTTAGAGCATTAGAAGATTCAGTTTTTAAAGAAAAGGTCACTTTTAAACCCAGTTGTTACAGAAGTTGGTTATTCGCTGTGATTGCCTACTGTTGCATGATTTAGTTGGAGTTGACATTTTGAAGCCTTATTACTGTATTCTGTTCAATAATATTGAAATACGTTGTTTTCACTATTTTGTTTCAGAATAAGAGCCAAGGATTGAGTTTTGTCCGTATACATGCACCTTGGCAAGTACTTAGTCGAGAAGCAGAACTCCTTAAAATAAAAATGCCCACTAAAAAGGTGAGTATCTTCCATCTTCTATCAATTAGTTGTATGACTGGAGAAGGGTGGATCAGAATGGTAGTTAAATGTATAGAAGCCCATAGCACTACTTTATTTCAAAATCAGAGCAAATGAACTGCCAAGCTTATTCTTTCACATTACTAATTATTTTGAGATGATTTAGTACTCAGAGTCAGATTTAAGATGGGATTTTCAAAGGCCACAGAGGCAGCTGGCTGACAGACTGTGTTCAGAAGAGTGATGATGGAGGTGAGTTTTAAGGTGGGCTTTGAAACTGAGAAGGCAGTAGCTATTTGGATTTTTGTCAAGGAACTTTCCTCAAAGGTGAGGTGCAGTATAGGAGATAGTATGATAGTTCGTCATTGCCTTAAGATTTCTCTAACATCTGGGGATGCCGAGAAAGTCTGTTTTGGTGGTATCAATAACTTAGTGCATTCAGACTTGCCCCTTGTCATTAAAACTTTGGCTCACTATCTTCTTCACAGTCATAGTAGCTGAGAATATCTATAGCTTTCAGCAGAGTTGCTGGTAAACATTGTAAACTCTGAAAAGCAGATCCCAAAATTTGTGCTCCTGCAATGATTTAGCATGCTGGCTAATAACTACACTGAAGTTAGTGGAACTGCCTTGTGCTTTCAGTTAGTAATACTCATCAATTGCACTACTGAACACTTATTTCATTGCATTGTCATTAGAATTAAATAACAGACTGATTTTATTTTCTTCCACAGGGTTGTTGTTGTTGTTGTTGTTTTGGTTTTTGTTTGTTTGTTTCATATTGATTGTTTCCACCCAGCAAAAACATCAGTGTTGTTCACATCTTGTGGTGTTACAATCTGTCAATGTCAGGGGCTTGGACAAGCCAATCTTGTATACTCTTACTGCATTGTGTTTGCATTCCAGGAAAAAAAAAAAAAGTCTGGTTACTTGTAATCAGTCTTTCAAAATGTGTAGGTTTTGGACAGCTACAGTACCTCTGTCCTTCCTGGCATATTGATGGATGTGTAGGCCCTTTCTAGAAATGGACCTACATATTCAACTCCTCTCTTTGATCCCTTCCCAGTTTTGTTCCTTTTGTGCATTTTTAGCTCATTTCTCCCTCCTTTTGCCCTCATGGGAATTTTGCCCTCCTAGCTTTTTGCAGATACACCAAAGGAAATTTTACACTATTTTAATTGAGGAATGTTGCCATCATATTGTTCTGAGTTAAGGTCTCCGGGAGCTGATAGTCTCCAGTGGCTGCCCTAGTGACTCACGAACAGTTCCGCATCCCCTTCTCTCCTCTGAATGGGAGAAAAAAGGCACAGTACATCATAAAGCCTTAAAGACACAGAATCATCTGGGGTAAAGGCATCTGAAAATATTGACTAATTACTTCATTTAACTGCTGTATATTATATATTATTTATAGCATCCTTTTCTTTAAAGCAACAGATTTCAATGAACCAATCAGGTCTGTGCACACTTCATGTTAAATGAGATTGCCATATAACCAACATTTATTGAATAGTATGACAAATATTCAACAAGCAAATGGACATGCAGTCATTGGTTAGGCAATTATGAAAACAGTATTCAGATTTGTACCTGTAATTTGTTTTGGTGTGTAGAAGAAGATGAAATGAAATATGTCTACCACCAAGGAAACCACATCTCAATTTTCCTGAAAATTCACCCTAGGGTAAGAAGTTGTTTTGTATAACATGAAAGTGATATGACATTTTTAAGGAGAAGATTGCTGACAACTCTTCTTGACTACATTATTTTTCTATTATCTCAACAGCAGAAATGGAGCACTACCAGTGCACTACCAGAAAGCAAGCATGACAGGAAAACTATGTTCATGTCTTAAGTTTTTTGCAGTTAAAGACAGTTGGAAGAGGAATCGCCTGTGAAGAAAACAAAAATCCATTTTGAAAAACTGAAATCTTGTATTTTGGGGAATTGGCAATACAAACTGAAAAATTCAGCCAGGAACCACTAAAAAGAAAGTTCTATTTTTGTTCAGAGAGACAAAAGGTTGTTTTCAAGGCACATTAGGTATTTTCTGTGATGCTATTTTTATTTATTCAAACATCCAATGAAACCATAAACAAAGCATTTTCAGTAGAAAGTATCCACCTCTAAACATGATGAATTGGTTGCAAACATTTTTTTTTAAATGTTCAGTCTTAAATAATATTTCAGGACAAAAGTGGCATGCTGGGAAAAGGTACTTCTTGAGCAATTTTAACTACATGTATACTTCTGGATATGATAATACAGTTATTTTTGAGAGTAAGAATGGGCCACACTCCAATATGAGTATGAGAAACAAACAGTATGAGAAACAAACAGGACCAACTAGAAGTGTTGGTCCGTTCCCAGAGATATGATGCCTCTGGTATTAGTGAGACTTGGTGGAATGAGTCCCACGACTGGAGTGCTGGGATGGAGGGCTATAGGCTGTTCAGGAGGAACAGGCAGGGCAGGCAAGGTGGAGGAGTTGTACTGTAAGAGAGAAGTTTCACTGTACAGCCCTTGCAGTTAGGGATGATATGGTTGAGAGCCTCTGGGTGAGGATTAGGGGAATGGAAAACAAAGCAGATGTCGTTGTGGGTGTCTACTATTGATTGCCCAGCCAGGATGATAGCACTGATGAATTATTCTATAGGCAATTAGGGGAAATTTCTGGATCAGTAGCCCTTGTCCTTATGGGGGATTTCATCTTCCCAGACATTAACTGGGAATACCATACTGCTGTGACAAGCAAGTCTGAGAAATTCCTGAAGTATGTTGAAGATAATATCTTCTCACAAGTATTCAGTGAGCCAACTAGGAAAGATGCCCTCCTAGACTTCTTTGTGATAGAGAAGGACCTTACCTAAGGCATTGGTGATATTTCCCCAGGGCTTTGGGTGGGCTTTAGATGAAAGAGTGGTCAGCACTGACACAGACAAGTAGTGTATGTATCTTATGCCTAAGTGCTCAACTTTCTACTGCTGACCTAACTGAAATATAACCATCTGCCTGTCTGCTCCTAAATCAGGATTAAATGTTTTGCTTTTGATATATAACTCATAGGACCTTTCCCAGACCTCTCTTTACTTGCAGCTCAAGGGAACGTGGACACTCAGGTCACAGGGAACAGTCTGTCACCATTGGGCAGGTATAAAATATCTCTAAGGCAACTTTAATCCAGTGTTAATACCAACAGTCAGCTCTGCAGACTCCTCAGCCTCAAAGGTAACACAAGAGTAAGAACAAGGTTAAGAAGAAAGGAAGTGGATAAATGATAGGAAAGAGAGAGCTATACTCCCCAAAGAGGTAATGAGGTTTGTCATTTTCTGAAGGAAGAATCTCAGACAAGGATGATGGGTTAAGTAGGGGAGGAACCTGGGAAAGAGATGGGCAATCCATCTGTTTGTGCTTTGCTTTTCAGCTTCCGCTATTATTTTCAGTTAAGGCTGCCCCACATCCACATCTACTTTATGTCTAGACAGAAGTGGAGGCATTCAATGTGGTTTTTGCCTCAGTCTTTGATAATACTGATAGACCTTGGGCTGCCTGGTCCTCTGAGTCAGAGGACCACAACTGCGGGAGGAGTGACGTTCTATTTGTGGACACAGAATTTGTAAGGGACTATCTGTATCAGCTGAATGTTCATAAGTCCATGGGGCCTTATGGGATTCATCCCAGAGTACTGAAGGAGTTAGCGGATGTTACAGAAGGAACCCTTTCAATCATCTACCGAAGGTCTTGGGAGTCTGGGGAGGTCCCCACTTACTGGAAGCCAGCCAGCATTATTACAATTTACAAGAAGGGTGAGAGAGAAGACCCAGGAAACTACAGACCTGTTAGTCTAACCTCAGCACCTGGAAAAATTATGGAGGAGATCATACCAGGTGCTATTGAAAGGCATTTAAAGGACAATGCAATCATCAGGCACAGTCAACATGGTTTCACAAAGGGAAAGTCCTGTCTAACTAATTTTATATCCTTCTACGATAAGGTTACCTGTCTAGTGGATGATGGGAAGGTGGTGGATGTCATTTTTTCTGGATTTTAGTAAAGCTTTTGATAGCGTCCCTCACAGTATCCTTCTGGACAAGTTGTCCAACTGTGAGATGAGCAGGTACATGGTGTGCTGGGTGAAGAACTGGTTGAATGGCAGGGCTCGAAGAGTTGTAGTGAGTGGGGCTGCATTTGGCTGGTGACCAGTCACCAGCAGTGTTCCTCAGGGCTCAATTCTATGGCCGGTTCTGTTCAAAATATTTATTAATGGTCTAGATGCAGGAGTTGAATGCACCATTAGCAAGTTTGCTGATGATACTAGACTGGGAGGTGTTGTTGACTCTCTTATGGGACAAGAGGCCTTGCAGAGGGATCTAGATGGGTTGGAGCATAAGGCAATAATCAATAGCATGAAATTCAACAAGAACAAATTCTGGATTCTGCACCTGGGATGGAGTAACGCTGGTCACAAGTATAAATATGGGAGAGGAGTGGCTGGAGAGCAGCCCTGCAGGAAGGGACCTGGGGGTGCTGGTTGACAGGAGGCTCAACATGAGTCAGCAGTGTGCCCTGGCAGCCAAGAGGGCAAACCGCATCCTGGGGTGCATCAAACACAGTATAACCAGCCGGTCAAAAGAGGTGATTGCCCCGCTGTATTCAGCATTGGTGCGGCCTCACGTTGGGTACTGTGTGCAGTTCTGGACCCCACCATTTAAGAATGAAGTTCAGGTACTTGAATGTATCCAGAGGAGGGCAACAAAGCTTGTGAAAGGGCTGGAAGGAATGTCCTGTGAGGAGGATATAAACTCATGTTTGGTAAGGTTGTCTGTGTTTCAGAAAAAAATACTTTCATATCTCTGGGAAGCTTCCTAGCACTTCACATCAATCTGAATCAGCAAAGCTAGATCCTTGCACTTAAAATTGCCACACAGCCGTGAGCCTGGAGTCCTCGCTTCTAATGGCATGTGTACATGTGCTGTCAGACCATACTAGCAATTATTACCCAGGAATAATTTATTCTGCCAGGGCAGTATAATTGGCAGCAGGTAAAGGCCCTCCCTGCTTTGTCTGCTCCCTCTATTCCCAGTTGCAAAGTCAAAATAATTACTCTGCTTTTCTATCATCTCCCTGCAGCTCCTAGTTTAGTCGGTAAGGATGTTTCATGTCTTAACAATTCTACACTGAGTTTTCTTCTGAAAGTAGCTTGTGAAGGACAAGAACTTCTTTTTGGAACTGAAATCCTTATGGATTCAGGTGCTTGCTGTTATATGGGAATATATCTTCAGAGAAGGTGCTTATTTTAATTACAGATTTAAACACGTGTATAGAAATTCTATCTTTTTTTTTTCATTTTAGTGGATTTTGGAAGTGACATGCTAATGTACAATATTTTATTTACTCAGATGTATGAAATCACAGAAGAAGGGGGAATACTCAAAACGTTAAATGAAATATGGTGCAAATTGACTAAACCTCTGCAACCCCAGGTGCCACAACAAGAAAATACCAACATGAAAACCCTGTCTTACCCATTTTCCAGAGAGAAAATATATTTGTGAGTACTTTAAATTGTGATGAGCAATGAAGAAAGCTATAAATTATCATTTTAGTGTTGTCATTTTTTCTACCAGTATTTCAGTCAAAATTCAGAAATTCATTGAGTATTTCTGGAAATCCTGACAAAATAACCAAGTTGTTCAGATTATTCCTGGATAATATTTCCAAGTGATAAAAGCATATGTCTGCATAAAACTAAATTTATTGAAGGCCAAGTAAATAGATCTAAAGTAAATGAACATGCATTGGCACTGAGTTCAGTTTCAGCAGATTAACAGAAATTTAAGTTGCAGAGACTTTCTGCCAGTGTTCTACTTCCTTCTGCTGGATAAGGCACTAGAAGCAGTGCAACAAATAAAATATCTATGTTTTTAGCTTGAACTATAAAAATCCTAGCACCAAATTCCTGATTATTTGGTTAAGGATATTACTGCCTGTTTTGAAAAAAGAAAGAGCTAGTAGAAATCCGGTAATATTTTTCCTCTTGATAGATTTATTATAGTAATTAAAACATGGCTAATAATATGCAGATAAGGAATTCTTGACACCTGCCTTTTCACTCAGAATAATACTTCTGGGCCCAGTTTGACATTAAACACTCCTTTTGTCCTCATGGGTGTCTCCTTGTATTTATGTCTGATAAATAAAATTCAGTAATAAATATAATGACCCACCATATAATTTATTGTCCTCTCTGACAATTTTAGTTAATACTGAATACAAGTCAAATTGATTGAGAGGAATAAACTGGGAAGGCTAATTTCACATGTGATGATTTTAAGGTTTAAGGGAATGCATAATTCCAGTGGAATGGTTATTTGAAAGCAAGTGAAATGTTGACTGGTTAGTCTCCTGGAAAAGAGTAATGAACATCTGCATTAGGCTAGATGAAACCTAATAACATGACCTCAGAATGTTATAGTGTTGAGGGTATGTTATAAGGAAAAGATTAAAAGGTCATCTTGTGTAAACAATAGACAAGCTCTCCTTACCCGAAAGGCATTTTACTTTAGTTAATATTTTTGCATTTTCATGCCCACCATCGTTGCAATCCACATAGAACTCTGAATGACTAGGTCTTAAATAGCACAGTCTATTATGCTGTACTATTTCGTCTATATTTCCTTTAAACATCTGTTTTTCTTACTTGCTGTGGTTTCTGAATTAATTCTAAATCAGAATCTTATATGTTAGCTTACTCATTACTACCATGTCTGAAAACATAACTGATTTTTTTTTTTCTCTCAATGTTTTAGGTATAACATTAAAGACAAAGAGACCTTTTTTGACAATGCTACCCGCAGCCGAATAGTAAGTAAACAAAAGTAACATATCATTGACTTCTTGTGCTGAATGGGATTTGCTTTAATAGTGAGTGTTGGTGACTACTTTGCTAATTTCATCAGTTTATGCATTTCTCTGTTCCTACAAAACACTAAGCACTCGTAAGTATGTAAGAAATACCCTTCTGGAGCTGCCCAGTGGTCCAGGAGTAGGAGATGCCATATAGGAAAACACTGCTACTGACTCCTCTCCATTATTCAGAGTTGTTATTAAGCTCTGCTTCCTAATCTGAATAACTAGATTTTATTCCATAAAAGGACCTCCTCTACAATCCTGTAGTAACTTCCTAGCTCCAGCAGTCTTTGGTGAGAAACCTTGTATACTGTTCTTGAGATCCTGCTAGGTCTCCAGCAGGTTGGTGAGGCAAGATTTCTCTTTACATATGCAATGCCAACTCCTCCCTAACATGCTATGTTCATCCATACACACTTGGGTTTCACAGATATAGCATACTTACTGATCGCTTTATGTGCATCTTGATGTTATACTTCCAAATGTGAAAGCTAAATGTTTTTTTACAAAGTCAGATTTTGTGATTTTCTTTAGTGTAAAATTCTCATTCTACCTGAAGTCCTTATACTTCGTATAGTTTTATAAGGATGTGACACAGCAGGACTTAGCCTACAAATGTTAGGGCAGGTAATTCACTAATAAGAGTTGCCAAAGCATTGTTAAGTGTTAGCTAGTGGCCTCAAGTCATGCATTTATGAGAGTGAAACATATGATTTAAGTGTATGTGCAAATGAACTCTACAGAAGCCTCTTATTTTAAAGTTTTGTTTTATTGCTAGCTCCATGATGAAAATAACGCTAAAAGATGATTTGTGTGTTATATCACTGTTCTTTTCCACAGGTACATGAAATTTTGAAGCGCCTATCTACAAAGGCCAGAAACAGCACGGGTAAGAAGGAGGGAAGATAATTATATATGTTGTTTTAAAAGGAATTGTTTAGGTATCTCACAGAATATTTATTTTTCTAGCAGAACACAAAAGTATGCTGGCACATTTCCACAAAGAATAGAGATTGAACCAAATGCTTTTTCTGAGGAATAAAATCAGACTTTCTGGTCCGTGGTTTGGATAGGACATGGTAATGGGAGCTTGCTTTTCATTTCTACAGGTGCAGGATCTGGCACATCACTTGCATTTCATGAGTTGTTATAAAATTGGATTTGATTATTATATTATCTGCTTTTGAAAATTCAGATGTCAACTACAATATGTTGTATTATTTCTTCCAGGAGCAGATTTTTCTTGCCATTTCAATAGAATAATACATCTTTCCAGGTTATTTTTATCACTGCAGCTTTAAAAATTATGTCCATGAACTGCATAGTGCAATATATGGCTTAACTATGACTGTTTTGAAGATATTGTGTGATACTTTTGGGGTAACCCTGAAATATTTAGAGATTTTGTTTTCTTGAGGTTTGGAACATGTATAAGTGTACTTCTTTTCTTTTCTCTACTCTTTTCTTTCGTCCATTGTGATACCATGACACATATCTCCCTGGTGGCAAAGAAGTGATACTACTTGTCTGGCACGTTTTCTGAAAGTCCTTCTGTAAGCTTGACCACTTATGTGCGGACCACAATGTCCTAGGGTAATGTACTTGCAAAGAATAAATGTGCTGTAGCAACAGATTCCTGCACAGTCTTGGTGTAACTTTATGTGGTGAAGCTGCAGTAACAGATTTCTTTGGTACAGCAGCTGAAGTGGAAAATACATTAATTTAGGTTTCCCTGAAATAGAGATTTTTGTTTTTTCAAATTATATGAAAAAAACCCAAACCAAAATACTTTCTCTTTTTCAACCAAAAATACTTGGCTTTGCCCAGAACAGACATTTAAATTTCTGATTATTACACTGTTTCCTTTAAAAAAATTAAAAAGTGGTTGAGAAAATGTCAGGCACTCTTCATTTCTAAAACATTGTTCAGCTGGTGTCTGTTTTGTTCAGTGTTTGCTCTGTGTTGTTCTATGTTCTGATCTGCTCAAAGGCTCTGGTGGGACATAAGAGGGGAATGCTACCTTATTTTACTTGATTGCTCCAGCTGACATCCAGGGAACCCTGATGGTGACTGGGGCGACCATGCTTTCCGTAGGAGCTGTGGAGCCTGTGCAAGTAGATGTCTCTAGAGTGCAGGATTTTAGAGACAAGGCAGTGTAAGGTATATAAAACAAGAAATCTGAAGTCCAGCAGGGACACTAAGCCTGTTGACATAAAAGCCAGCCCCCAGAGCTGATGCTTTCCCAAGGGATCCAGAGAGACTGTGTAGAACCTTCTGAAACTCTTAAGACTTTGTAAGTTGTTGGGCTGAGAAAAAGTGTGAAAGAAGCAATCCATCCTACAAGGACACAGTAGCACTTTACCAATGGGTTTTTTTTGCCTGTTTCTTAAAGTTTTCACTATTTTAAAAGCGTGTTCTGGTTTATAGTGTAATAAAAGCCATCATTAGAGATCAAAGCACTAGCAGTGACTTTTCAGGCTTTTTTTTTTTACTTTAAGGTGAAAATACAGTCTGATCCACTTCAAGCTCAGGTCAGCTCAAGATCCCATTTGACATGAAGCAGATATTGTAGCCCTCCTGTTCTTCACATCTTTCTAGCCCATAACCAAAACATGATTATGCATCAGGTTTGACCTAAATTCAGTAATTGTTTTGGTCTCCTGAGATCCTCCACCAAAAGTCCTATGCTTCATATGTTGCTAAGGTTTTCCCTTCTCACTGGCCTTAAGACTTAAGAGCACTCATCATGAGTGGTTCAAAAGATTTCTTTCATAGAATCATAGAATCATAGAATAGTTTGGGTTGGAAGGGACCTCTAAAGGTCATCTAGTCCAACCCCCCTGCTGGGGCAGGGACCATCTTCAACTAGATCAGGTTGCTCAGAGCCCCGTCCAACCTGACCTTGAATGTTTCCAGGGATGGGGCATCCACCACCTCTCTGGGCAACCTGTCCCAGTGTTTCACCACCCTCAGCGTAAAAAATTTCTTCCTTATATCTAGCCTAAATCTACCCCCCTTTAGTTTAAAGCCATTCCCCCTTGTCCTGTC